AATGTGTCTCCCTGCCAGTGACGTTCTGAGCACAGGGTCCAAAATTAACAACCATTTAGCACCAAATGGGAGTAAAAACTGGCTTTGGAATATATATATATATATATATAACCTCATAGGGAACTGTAACAAATACATGTAAATACATGTGATTGTAAAACAGATAATCTGACTCTCAATAGTGTAACACAAACCATCTAGTAAAGAAAATATTCTTTTCTAGGATACGTGCATATTTTTTCTTTCTCCAGGCATATGAATATTCCCCATTAACCACCAAAACAAATATATGAACAACAAAATATCAATGCATCTTTATTTAAAAAAAATAAATAAAATAAAATAAGACTGAAGATCAAATCTCTGACACCAGACCTACCTATTATCTACAGACAATAAACATAATAATAATAATAATTATTATTATTATTATTACTCTTTATATTTATAAACCATACAGTGTCATTAAATGGTGACATTATTATGCTGCTTCAGTTACTCCAGTGATCAAGCATATATGTTGCATTCTGATATGCTTGCATGAAAAGGCCTGGGTAAAGTGTGTTCAAAGCCGCCCGGGTTTCACAGAAAGAGGGTCAAAGTTCAGTTTGCGTGAGAGGTTTAATTAGATCTTGAAAGGAGGCAATAGGGACGGGTGGCTCGAGAATCCGTTCCAGCCACTTTTCGAGATTTTTGATTTTGGCACAATCAGCTACGGGGTTGCCATGACGATGCCTTTGACCTGTGCCTCTTTAAATACAGTGAAGTCGGATGGGAGATGAAAACACTGTGTCACTCTTGACTGCACCGGCGCTATTGTCTACCGTCATGTGCTGGGTTATCATGACAGTGCTTAATCACGCAACCCAGGCGAGCATCAACAAACCATTAGGCATCTGTAGAGACATTGGCGATAATAGCCCAGCGCAAGACATATTGTGAAGCGCCATTGTCTCTCTATGTGTGAAAAATGACAAATGATATTGTGTACTTGTGACAGCAATTTTTTACAAGGCTTTGTCTTTTTCCTGTCTGTTACTTAACAACAGAACAGAGACTCCCACGCAGTCACACAGCACATTCACACACACACACACACACACACACACAGAGTCATGCAACATGGTTTTAGTACACTTAAATGTCTCTCTGAACAATTTGGACCAAACATAAGACAGAAAGCGGGCTAAGATCACAGATTAGATGTTATATGCTTCCCATTTGTCCATTACCTGCTTTGCATTAGTGTGTGAAAATGAAAATGAAAAACCATAAATCTGGCTACACTCTTAAAAATAAAGGTGCTTCACGATGCCATAGAAGAAGCTTTTTGTCTAAATGGTTCCATAAAGAACCTTTCTATTTCACAAAAGGTTCTTTGTGGTGAAAAAAGGTTCTTCAGATTATAAAAAGGTAAGAAAGAGATGGTTATTTAAAGAACCGTTGACTGAATGGTTCTTTGTGGAAACAAAAATGGTTCTTCTATGGCATCGCTGTGAAGAACCTTTTGAAGCACCGTTATTTTTAAGAGTGTAGTGCTAAATATTTTCACCACACTCACAGACAGCACCTAAAACAGATGGAAGACTGCCCCATTTCTAAACCACTGGAAAATGTGCTTTTTAACATCTTAATATTAAGGGCTGAGACTGCTGAAAAGAACAAAATTAGCATGTGTCCTTCCAGTTTCTGGAGAAAAAAAACTGAACATTTAACTGTATAAAGCACAGATATGAAATAGTTGTTTGCTGACAGGAAAAGCGCAGGCTCTTTTACGTATGTGCTGAAGGAGGACAAGGGCTTATGTTTTACGAGAGCTGTGACTCATATGTAACCTTTCTGTGGTCACGTTGAAATACTATCATAACAGGCAATGGGTGAACACGCAGAACACAACACAGACATAAAAACATGAAGCTTATCCATATCATGCATAAGGTTTGCCATAAAAAAAGAAACATTTTGACATTACTACCATAATTTAGAGTCATTCTTGCAATGCCCACTTTAAATTGATACTACCAGTTAAAGTATGGAATGGACAATGGAAGGAATTATTCTGTGACCATGTCATATTTATACAACAAACATGAAGCTTATCCATATCATGCATAAGGTTTGCCATAAAAAGAGAAACATTTTGACATTACTACCATAATTTAGAGTCATTCTTGCAATGCCCACTTTAAATTGATACTACCAGTTAAAGTATGGAATGGACAATGGAAGGAATTATTCTGTGACCATGTCATATTTATACAACTATGTTATATTTAAAGCAGCACTATGTAACTTTTAACTCTAGCGGTTAATAAACAGAACTGCACACATCCCGCGGAAGAACATTCCAACCGGAGATACTTCTCTAAGTTTATGTCTATGGCGAACCAAAGACTTAAACTACTTCAGTCTGTGTGCATTGAATTTATTTAATACACAAGTTTCACAATTTGAGTTGAATTACTGAAATAAATGAACTTTTCCACGACATTCTAATTTATTGAGATGCACCTGTATATATGTATTACATGTATTAGGTAATTTGCTTTGGACAGAAGTGCCTGCTAAATGTACATAAATGTAAATAAATGTACATTTAGGTCACATGCGAGGGCTGTCTGGAAAGTATCCAGCCATGTAATATGAAAAATAGAGACATTTATCGAAGAAGATCACATTTGAAAATCACCTTTGAAAGGGAAGAGATTTCAGACAGTCGATGTGATTCAGGAAAATATGACGAGGCAGCTGATGGCCATTCCAACAAAGGATTATGATAATGTTTTGAACAGTGGAAGAGACACTGGCAGAACTGTGTGAGGTCCCAAGATGCCTACTTTGAAGGGGACTGAGGCGTTATTGTCCTATGTACAATGTTTCTTGTATCTTCTATCTTCTTCGATAAATGTCTATATTTTTCTTATTACATGGCTGGATACTTTGCAGACAGCCCTCGTAATGGAAGGTAACATAAATGCATGTGAATTAATGTATATGAGTGATTATCAACGCATAAATACCTTTACAGGCTTATGCTTAAATGCTTGAAATTTATTAATTATCCAGCAGGGCTAGATGGATGAGAAATGCTGATTCAGATAAAGTCACTGCATTGGTAGAAAAAAAAGTATAGTAACATTTTATCCATATTGTGTAGAAGAAAAACATAAAATTAACTAAGATCAGTAATCCAACATCATTCACATAATTATGTGTTGACAGTCTTGACAAAAAATGACAGAATGTACAATGCTGTTCTGTCAGGCTAACAGATAGATCAAATTAGGCTAGGTGCATGTGTACCTCGCCTAAATAAGGACATATCATATACAAATTACAGGTAAGTAAACCAATGTGTATATCTCTATCTCACAGGAACAGTACTTTAGACCTTCATTCATTTACACAAATCAAACGCTGGAATGCCTTATTGTACTACACTGATATTTCATCGTAATTCCACCATCTTATCTAATAAAATGCCTATTATTCCCAGACATTCCCATCTCTGTTTAAGCATTAGTCCTACAGTACATCAGCACTAGGGTGCATATAAGCAAAAAAAGTAGCTGATACAGTATGTGCTGCTCAGCTCAGCGGGATCTAGAATATCTGGAGCCTGTGAGAGTGTCTCAGGGGTGTTAGGGTCATTATAGGCCCTCATACCGTGTTTAAAACCAAATGAGAGATAATCATTTCAGTAGTGCCTAGCACTGTGGGACACAGCTCTCTTTTTCTCTTTCCACACTCCCTTTAGCCATTCACACTCATGCAAGTGCTGCAGCGGTGATGTACTTTGGGCTGCCTCTGTTGTTTTCTGCACTCTAAATATAATATTTTGTAATTTTACATAATATAATTTCAGAAGGCTTGCTGAATAGATCGAAGTAAAACCCTGTGATCAGTGACTAGAAATTAATTAAAATATTCTCAACATAAAAGTGTGCTAACAATTGATATTCAAACATATTTTTGATGAAAGTGGTCTAGTTAACCATTTTATGAAATATTTACTTCACTTTTTTTTTTTACAGGAATTATGAGTTCTAACATCTAAACATGTTCTAACTTTACATTCAATATTTTGGTAATGCACCTACAAGTTGGTTTGCCAAACGCCAATAAACGCCTTATAAAGGGATTAATTATTAAAAATGTACATTAATGAACATCTCAACAATTTAAAAAAGGCTCATAATGCAAAGAAATTGTAATATTTTTTTTTCTGAGTGTGCTTCTTAAAGAGTTAAACAGCAAGAATGACACCACAAATACAAAGGTGTTTTAAGAATATCTCCTATGCATGGATTATTATGGGATGAAAAGTAGCCATTGCAGCTGTTACTTCTTTACAGAAAGAGTCTTTTCTCTTCTCCTGCTCCTATAGTCCTTTCACTCAAATGACTGTACTGAAAATCTTGCTTGATGCAACTCACCTATAATTTCCCAGTGTTATGACATGTACTATATAAGGCAGGGATAACAAGTAAGTTCATAGTGTATAAAATATTTATTTTCTGCCCACTTTTCTCCTGGTTTAACAACTGTCAATCCCACACAGGTTAGGATGATTCCAAGGGCCCGACGAGGGAGAGGGGGCCCGAACGCAATTTCTACTGAGGGGGACCCCATTCTTCTTGCTGGTGAATCAGACATTGCTACTTCTCTCATGAACACATTTTTAAGCAAAGAATGTCCAACATTTCAGTCTGTCCATTTTATAAAACTATCGTCTCACTTCAGAAGACTACTTTTATGATAATTTTATGGTGCCTTTTGAAGCTTGAAAGCTTCAGACCCCTTCACGGTAATGGCAGTGAACCAGAACATTGTTAAAATGTATTATTCAAATTGGCTTGAATGGCATGAGGGGGAGTAAATGATGGAATTTTAATTTCTGGGTGAAGTATTCCTTTAAGTAGTCTGACCAATAAAAATTTCTACAAAGTGTGCAAAGAGCTTATTATATTGCATGCTGTGTGCGTGCATGTGCCACTTACTCCCATTCCTTGCGCCGGGCCTGTGGGGTGCTCTGGATCTTGTGTGCCTGGTGTGCTTTAATGATGTCCCGTTGTTCAATGAGTCCCCCCCTGCGCCGTTTAATGATATTCGGGCTGACGGGCATGTCGGGGTCCAGACACAATGAGGCCGCCCCCTCGCATGACCCTCCAAGATCCAGGGAGGATGGTGCCAGACCCATGGGATGGGCGTGGGGGACATAGAGCATGTCGAAACTGGATGCATGGGACAGGAAGCTGTCAGCCAGGCTCTGGGGCTCCAGGAGTGAACAGGAGTGGGAGCCGTCCTCCAGGGTTCCCCGGTGCTTGAGCCAGCTCTCTGGGTCCTGAGACTGGAGGAGGAAACTTTGCTGTGGCGGGCTCCCTCCACACATGCCCTGATTGAAAGACGGGACTGCCAGGGCATTGCAGTCAGAGAGGGTCTGAGCGCTGACCGAACAAGTGCCCAATTCCAACATCTTGAGGCCAGACTCTCAGCATCGTTCTGTTTGAAGAGGAAATAGGGAGATGAGACAATTATATCTAATAATTACAAAAATAATTTTAAGCTAAAACAGTGTTGTAAATTGTAAACCAGGGGGCCGGGACCCATCAGGGGGCCTTAACACTTCCTAAAGCAGGGTTATTATAGTTTACTAAAACTAAAACCTTAAAAAAGTGTGTTACTTGAAATAAAGTCGTTGCCAAGGCAACATTTCTCATGTTCTTTTAGTTTAACCTGATGTACCTAACCAAAAATTTTTATTTAAATTAATAAAAAAAAAATAATAATTAAGACACAAAAACGTAAAACCCTAAAAAAAAAAAATTTTTTTATGAAATATAAAATGTAAAACAAAATAATAAAAACTGTAACAGTATCTCAACGACACTAAAATAACACTGTTTCAAAGGACCACAAGATGGTTAAAAATTATTTTAAATAAGACAAAGCCAGCTTTAAAATAAGTAAAATCAGCTAAAATTCAAGATGTAAACTGACATCAAATTTCTCATTTTAATTTCTTTATTTTTAATTTGTCCTGTTCTAGAAACTGGAAAAATGTCATGGAAATTAATAAAATCTTCATGAAATTTATAAAAGGTCATGAAAATATCTATAAATATATATATATTTCACAAGCTGTAAAATAGTTTATTTTAAATAAATTGCTACTTGTGAGAAAAATAAATAAATAAACAATCATGAACGACTGGAAAAGTCATGTAAATTCATTAGTGGGAACCCTGAAGAACATTCAGTTCTTGAAACAGCAAGTTGTGAAATTTCAGAATGTAATTAAAAAAAAAAATTATTATAATTATTTAATTTAATTATATTCATATTTTGCCCCTTCTAATTTCTGTAAATTGAAAAAAAAATGTCAATGAATAACAGCAGACGTGTGATTTATCAGTCTATAGACCATTTTTGGTTCATGACAGCAGTTAAGAACCAATGATCTACTGTTCAAGCAACAAATTATGTCATCAACACGCAACAAAGATTTTAAAAACACATTTACTATTGACTACAGTGTTAATAACAAACAAAGAGCTGATATAATGCCAGGAGCATCAAGGAAAATAGTTTTAGCATCCTTAGCTTGTTAACTGTCAAATGTGACACTAATTTAATGACATATTCTCTCAAGTATCATTCATGAGGAGCCCTCATTGTTGTAGAAAGAATGCTGTCGTTACAAGGCTTGTTTAATGTGTTGCCTCTAAAACAATTTTGGAACAGTGACAGCCTTAAAAAAAATCATGTAGCAGAGTCACAGCAACCTAATGAGGGAATCAGTTATGCCAAGAATAAACTAATTAAATCCTAATAAAATCCCAGCTAACTCACAAATCATGCAAAAGAATTAAAAATTCATTCAAGAATGTCTATACTCTCCATATTAGCTTCTCATATGAATCTGGCAAAACATATCTAGACATTTAAAAACACAACAGTGCTAGAATTTTCAGACAAGTCCTCCTAGAGTACAAGCCAAGAACCCCAAATATGACAGATTGCTTTGTGAGGGACTTCCTAAAGTATACATTCAGCAATATATTTTATTTTTACTGTGTGAGAAATATATTAAGCATGCTATTTCAAAATAATATGTAATAAAATCACAACAGCATGATTAAATATCTTTAAGAAAGATATTAAAATATTATGTAGAAAATATTTAATTTGATTTAAACGTATAGAACTTTTTCGCTTGTAAACAGTGCTTGATCGGTGCATATTTCTCTCCTGATTCAGACAAGATGACGTTTTCGCTGGCGAAAGCAGTATTATACAGAGGATTTAACGGAGGAAGCAATAGTCCGATGTTCAACATGCCTTGATGGATTTGTTTCTTACAAACACACACACAGCTTTTCGCTTCACAAGACATAAATTCATGAACTGGAGTCTTACGGGTTATTCATGGATTATTGTGAAGTATTAAACAGCTGTTTGGAGCCTCATTCTGACGGCACCCATTCACTGCAGAGGATCCATTGGTGAGCAAATAATGTAATGCTAAATTTATCCAAATCTGTTCCGATGAAGAAATAAACACATCTATATCTTGGATGGCCTGATGGTGAGTAAATTTTAAGCAAATTTTCATTTTTGGGTGACCTGCTCTTTTAACGTTGACAGCTAAGAAAAATACATTTTGTAAAATCTTTAGGGGTTTTTTTTCCAATTAAATTTTCCATAGACCGCTTAGCACACCCCGGACCACAGTTTGAATACCTCTGATCATCTCGTCAGACATATCTAGTCCAGAGAAAGTCTGCTCTCAGCATGATTCACACGGCACACTGGTGGATTCTCTGGTAACTAATCTCATTAGTCACTAACTGGATCACAAAAAAACAGGTCATTACCATGTGATACTATGTGAAGATAACCACATGATCAGAGAGTACTAGTTAGCTCACCATAGTGACTCTGACTCCACAGATTTGATCCATATGTGCTTTGATCTCTAGTAGCATCAGTTTGAGGAATCAAACATTGGTGCAAAGCATTATCTATATTTTGATTAAGATGGCCTAGTTTTCCTTGCAGACTCTCTATAGATTCTAGTTACTGTTGGAATAGTATAAAAGACATTTTCAGTTTCCTTTTCAGTGCACCTTGTTTGGGGTCCAGATCTAATTATTCGCCTCCTTCAACACATCGACACCATGAAGCCAGAGCTGACAGGGCATAAATTATTAAGACTGGCCAAATAAAACAAAGTGACTGAAAAATACAAACTGATCCTGTGCTCCGAGCTCTGTGATTCATCATGCAAATCTACGCAAAAGCGGTGTGGCATCTTATTAAACCCCAGCTGAAAATGGGGCAGCTGTTGACAGTTGCAGCAGGATGCAGGGGTGTTTGTGTTTAGACTATATTTACCACAGTGGCCTGCATCCAACATCATCTCAAACACTAATAAGGGTGAAATATAGGATGATGCTAGCCTTCGGTGAACGGGAAAAAGACCAAATCCTGTTTAAATGTGGATATTATTATCTCAGTGATGTGGCTGTATATATACATTTTAATTCTCAGAGGTTGTGCCTTCATTCACTTAAAATACTTTTAAAATACATTTAATTGAAGTATCAACTTTGCCTGATATATATCGTTTGAATTCATATTGAGATCTCTGATTTTGATTGCAGACTTGGGTCTCCAGGCTATCAGTATCCTTCCGTACTGTGAGAGGATATTTTTTGTCACACCTCCATTCTGACGCAACTGGTCCAAGTCCATCCACTTTATTTCTGCCCAGTTGTGAGTCTTGCTGTAGCCTAACCCATGGTGAGCTAATGACAGGCCACGCATTGACTCGGAAATATAGGAATTAATTGCAGCTGCATAATAATGAATAAGAGCTTCCAACAGTGAGGGAGAAACATATACCTGCCTGTGCCAAGTTTCAGCAAATGCCATTAATTATAGACTCTGATAAATGAAAAAGGAAGACGGATGTTTGAGAAATAAAAATGCATTTGCACAAAAACAAAAACCAGGAAAGGTTCTCTGTGGCACTGTCAGTTAATTATGGGCGTAATGGGTCCATTTCCTACATTGATCAGAGAAACCATCCTAAGTGATCACGGCAAATGAGCCCGGAGCACGTCTGAACTAAACACATCTGAACAATGCCACTGTGATATTGTTGGTATCAACTGATGACTCAGTACATATAAAAAAATTAATTGTGACATCAGTTGAGGTTTTCAGACATCATTTATAAAAAGTACTATAGCACTACTATTGTATCAGATTGTATCTCTTTTGAAGAGACAGGGGCAAGTCGTCACACTTTTTATTCCAATGACTACTAGACATATACTGTAACTTTATATACTGGCTACAAAAATAATATTAATTTACACAAGTTGACCTTTTGGAAACAACATGCACCAATAGTGTGTTGTATTGTCAAATTACTGTATATGGGGTAAATTGCCACAACCTATTGTAGACTATTTACTGCCTTTTTAAATTAAAACATAGTCATGTTTAATTGATAGTTTAATTTAATATAGGTTAATTTATAGTAATGTTTAATTTAGTAATGTTAATTTATTTAATCCAAAATACTGCAAAAAACAGTAATATTGTAAAATGTTATTTCAATTTAAAGGAACTTTTCTATTTTAATATATTTTCAAATGTAAATTATTCTTGTGATGGTGAGCTGAATTTTCAGCAATCATTACTCCAGTCTTCAGTGTCACATGATCCTTCAGAAATCATTTTAATATGCTGATTTGATGCTCAAAAACATCACACAAAACACATTTGACAGCCCTGACCAGACATTTACAATGTGTGGTTTGAGAATATAGTTGACTTGAGAATATAGTTAATAATATTTATAATAATATGTATAATCTTTGTGTATGACCAGCCCAGGTCTCCCTCACACCTGAATGATTACCATATTCATATACCATGGTATTTACACACAGTACTGCTTCAAGGAGTACAATAGTTTTTCCCATACACTCTCAGAAGAAGAAAAAAACCTGTCACTGGGGCGGTAACCTTTCAAAAGGTGCAAGTTCGTACCTCATTTATCCCTAAAGGGTGCATATACTGTATCACTGTTAGCACAAACACAAGAACATTGTTATAGCGATACATTCCTCTATTTACCATGACACTCTGACAGAAATGAAACTTCCAAACAGTAAATCTCAAGAAATACAAGCACAGCAGCAGAGCATCTCCAGTATTAATCATATATGGCAGTGAATGACGCAGATCCATTATTCCACTCAAATAGCTAACAAGCTGCACCTGGACCAGGAGGAACGCAGCCGGTTAGGGGCTTATTCTTTTTATCAGTACTGTTTATCTTTCCTTCCTACTGTCTGTGTTTACCTAGCATCTTTAAAAGTACTCCATTTCAATGAGTCATAGTCCATTAGGAAATCTAACATGCTTTTTCTTTTTTAACAGTTTTGTCATATATAGGCCACATCTCTGAAAAACAGTCAATTATA